AAGATGGGTGTCATACTGTAAAATTCCATGTTCAAGCCCTCGGCTTAAGTAACTTCATAAGGTGTTTTGAATGGGCATATAAACAGGGGAAAGGGGTAATATCAGAGGGGGGGGGGCATATACGAGGAATTGAAAAAATGTTTCAGAACAATGAGGTATAATGTATCCGAGAATTGAATTAAGCTAATATGCCATCACATTTAGAATTACACTTATAATACATTATAATTATTGTGCTTCACAATAAATGGTGCCGTGAATATATTTCAAAAACATCTATGAAACACTTATGCAACTGGAACAACTAGAATGGAACAGACCTCGGTAACAATAACAAAGTTCATATTTATCTTTCAATTTTTGGAACAATTTCATAGTTCTAATTCAAAGTAATGAAACACAAGAGGAATTTGCTCTTGTACATTAGATGGGCTTATAAATGGGGTTCTTAAATCTACAAGAATATCTTTGTTAGCAAATTGGTGGGTTTTTATCTGGGAGGGGCTTAAAACCAAGGGAGCTTTAAGTATGGGATTTTATGGTAATTAGCTCTACCACATAGTAGCATATTGTTACAGTAGCTGGATCAATGACAGCATCTTATTTAATAAGCATGTTTTTCTCTACTTATCTCTGTAGGTTAAAACTGACATCCCAATCCTTTTGAATAAGAATCAAATAAAGGCACTGCGTCAGATGATTTTTGGTGTGATAAAAAAAGCTATGGGCATCAATCCCTTACCAGATGGAGCACCACGTGGCTTCCAGGTGAACCTTTCAGCAGCAGTGGCTTGGGCTGCTAGAGAGGCCCGATTGCATAACCCTGACAAGGACACTCTTGATATTAATCTTAAGCTAGATGGGAGACCATTTTATGGTAGGTTTGACAATTATTTTTCTTAATGCATTAAGGTTTGCATGGGTTAGTTACTTTCTTATGTATATTTGAGGTTCTGTAAGAATTTTATTTCCGGTCTGCAAAGCTGACTGATTAATAGAGTACATCAAGACATCCAACACTACAATATGTCAGTTAGTGATTGTTTCCTTTTAAAGTAGTCACCCGATGACTACATCTCTTTTGATCGAGTACAGATCTGAATATTCATGTGCATCCTTGCCTTTACAGGTAGACACCAAGTAATGTTTGGCATTGTGCCTATTGATGTTGACCACGCTTCAAGTGAAAGTTGTAAAAGTGTGTACCCTATAGCAATTCCAAACTGTAAGGAAAACAGGTTAGAATCATGAATTTTAAGCCAGTTAACATATATCTTATTAAAACTCTACATGGAACATTTGTATGTAGAAGCCAGCCCCATGTAACTGTTGAAATTAATTTTCGAGCAAGTCATCTCATGCCTAGAAGACAAGGAAAACTAGTAAGTTGCAACTAGTTTTTAGAAATTTTACAATGTCACATTTTTTTGTTCTGCAGGGAAAATGTGGAGGCCCTCATAAAGGATATAAATTGCCAGAAGGATGCCATGAAGAAAACAGGAATAGTGGTTGATGGAAGATGCTTAAAGTTAAATTTACAGGTTATTACTTTTGTCTGCCAATTAATCTTGACTCTTTATTTTTTTTTATCTTATTTTATTTCTTTGCAATGTTTCTATGTTACATGTCTATTTAGTCATGTTGTAGTCTTATTGAATCTATTTTATGCTTGGCAGTGTTATAAAATATAAAGGAAAGTAGTGTTCAACATCAAGTCTACCATTTGAGATCTGTGGTATAGCTATTAACTTGAATTTGATGTTATCTTCTGGCCTTTTTTGAGACTGTTACTCTTGATTACAAAGCGCTAATAATGCTACTCAAGCGAAAAGGTGGTGATGCCGACAAATATATTGATGAACTTTGCAAGCGAGGATTGGACACAGAGTGCTGTGTATTCTGCAAAGTTATTAGGGTAGGTTATATAGCCTGCAATTGCTATTTAAATGATATGCATCATAGCAGAATTCTACAAAAACACAGAACACATTCAGGTAACCAGTATTTGTGATGCAATTTATTTGTAATCAATTAGTGGGAGCTTTCTTTGTGTTGAAATTATAGAAAGGCAGAAATTTGTCTATAAAAATAAACATATCTGTGGTGAACTGAGTGATTATATATCTACAAATAGTAGCGAATGTTATCTGACTTAAGCTCAGTTAACTCAATATTAAGTTATA